AAGGCAAGGTTAATGAGTTATTTTAGTTGTTGCTCAGACACTGCTGTAGGCTAACAAGGAACACTATCGTCACGCGCATAGTTCATGTCCGATTATAGCAGGTCCAGTGAACACTAAAAAGCCGATCGTTGACTATGAAGCTGGTCAAAAATCACTTTGACTTAACAGCAAATGCCTTGTTTGCAGAAAACCGATATGATTTCATTTTGAATGCGTTCATACTTTGCTTCAATGCTTTGAGCGGCTGGGAACATATTGTGTCAGTCTAGCGTTTCGAGCGTACGCCAGCGTTTCGAGCGTACGCCAGCGTTTCGGCGACTGGGGGAGTGTAGGTGTCGATCCAGCATTTTAACACGTTCCGGACCGCGTGACACACATGGTGTGTCATGAAATTGCCTCTATGCTGCCTTTGATTATTTTGATTATTCTTTCATGTTCTGTTGTTGTGAAAACACGTCTTCGGTTATCAACATATCCTCCCTCATGAACGTTTGAAAATAGGGAGGAAATTACTGATCAATTTTTTATGAAAAATGATGAAATGATTAGGACGTGGCGCAGTACGGCAGTCCGCAATTTGTTAAGCGTACACGGGGAGGAAACCATCTCTGTGCTCTCCTAGTCGCTCAGAATGCTCAACACGCTGTGCTCAAAAGGGTCTCGTATCGTTTGTACTATTAGCCTGAATCCATAAAAATGCGCCTCAGAGAAGTAGCGCCATTGATTCTTATATCTTAAGAGAAGTAGCGCCATTGATTCTTATATCTTACTGCTGTTAAGAAAGATTTAATGAGCTGATTGGAAATTCTCGAAACTTTCAGGTTACCGTAATATTATCAGCTGATAGCAATTTAGCTCACTAATCCATACGTTCAGGTTCATGTTGAACGCGATGGCTGTTTAATCTACCGAACCTCTAGTTCCGATCCTAATGTTTCGAACGGTGTGCCGCCATTCATTGCACAAGAGGAACTGGACCGATTTCAGGCAGTTTGGTGGAGTCCAACAACCACTAGGTATACATTTTCTCTTAATAATTTCAAGGTAGTACCTAATAAGGTATCTAGTCGTTATTTCTTGTGTAGTTTTTGATTATGCTCGTCTTAAAATGATCTTAAAATGATGGGAGATGCCGAATTGTCTGCTCTTATATTGTTTGAAGGTTACTGTACGAACGAGTAGATGAAACTCTGGTGCGCTCATTAATGTTTGTGTGTCCTGGAAGAGAAGCACAAGCACCTATGAAATATCCGATTGCTGGAACAGACAATGCTCTGTCTCAGTTGCGGCTCATCGCTGTCGATGGGAATACAGTAAGTTCTCTTTCTCTTATCTGTGGCTTTCCATACTTTTTTTTGGGTGCTCTAGGTTGTCGACTGTGGCCTCAAGACTCCTTTGAATGTGCGATTTCCATGGATAGAATATATTGCTCGTGCGGGTTTTCTGAACGACGGGAAGACGTGAGTGCACAATGAAACTAGACGGAGTATAGTATTAGGTCATCCCATTCAAAAAGGCCGATGGTTTTTTTGAATAAAACAAAGAGGGACAACATAGATGGAAAAGTGATATTTTAGTTTTAGGATGAGTAAATCCCTCCGTCACAGAGTGACCCGCTCCAGTTGCCCGAGGGCCTTTGGACTCTGTACCTTCGATTTTTCAACAAGTGTAGTAAATTGCTTGTTGTTGCCAATTATCGGCAAATGACAAAACATTGGCTGCCGTCGAAGAGTACTCTTTACTGAATAGAAACAGTTGTAATCGCATGCTTTATGACGGTCACAAGCGAATGGGACGATTGAACTCAGGTTCAGTATTGTTTGTGTCCCAGGCACTGGTCTACATACAGTTACTCGGGGCTGGCACTATTGAACGAGGCGAAGCCACGGTGGCCTTCTGTAGTCGTGAGGTTCAGCATTCATTTGCTCGATCTGAACTGCCGAATGACGGAACAGGCACATTATGCACCGACAGTGAGGGATTGGTTCTCTGTATATGAACGCGCTTGAAAGCCACAGGTGTGGGGATGCTTTGCTATGATGAATCATCACTTGCGCCCACGTAACTCTTCATGTAGAACTCGGCGGTTTCTCATCTGCATGCATAGAAAATTGACCCGATTGTGAGTTTCGACTCCGGCGGGGTGCGTTTTCAACAGTTGTGAGTGACATCTCTCAGTGCTGAGAACATTACGGCTGGAGGTAGCGAAGTCGTTACTGCGTTCGGTGCCTTCTATAAGAAAATGTGGTTGTACCCATGCTCCACCCTCTAGACCATCTCCGTTTATCGGGCCCATAACAGCGGCAGCAGTTGCAGCTGGGATGTCAGGACTCGCGCGCGGAAGCTCGACAAGGGTCCAGGCTCTGTGGATCAGATATTCAGTGCCTGACTTCATCCCACCCCCGTGTTTTCTGGGGCAGGATGAATATTATGGGACCATCCACGACAACAAAATTTTCCTTTCTTCCTTGTACGGGCTCCTGAACCAGATCTTCCACCGTGTATTTCGAGAACACCCTTACACACAACTTACGGTCCGGCGCAGGTCGAATTTGAGCAGCGCACTTTCCTTTCATGACGTCTGATTTGAAAAACCGGCGCCGATTTTCACCACTCGGGTTTCTCTTCAATTTCTCGAGAACTTCTTCAGAGGCTAGGTTCGCCAAATTTCACAGATACACAGCTTAAGGTACTAGCTTCCAAATGGCATAGTAGCCCGCTGCTTTATCCCCTTTGCTTTTCTGCCAATCCTCTATATGTGTCGGCCACTTTGAATGGGATGACCTAATATTAGTATTGGCTAGGAGTATAGTATAGTTGTATCAGGTACTTTGCCTAGTTGGGAAATATCCATGAGTTAGCCTTGAAATGAAGCTACCTACTCAATCGAAGTCCTTGAATGAAGGGACAACTGCTAGCCTTGTCTCATTTCTTAATTTCTTACTCAGACTGCACATGATTTTCCAAAGGTGCAATTTTCCATGAGAGGAGGGCATTAATGTAAACTTATGTCGACATGTCCGGCAAGGATACGAACAACATGATACACTTGGAAATGACACCAGTTTCATTTTGTATGCCTACATAACATAGCACATTCAATTGCGATTGAGATATTTTCCTGTCATGCCAAAGTAGCCCTGATCAGCTAGGAAGTATACGATTGGCTAGAAACTATTGTAGTCCTAATAAAACATAGAAGTTCTTGTTTGATAACTGCGTTAACGGCCGCAGTAGCGCGATACGAAAGGCTATCTTAAGAATGCTGAGCTGTGGGCAAAAGTCGGACACGGACGGGATTCGAACCCCGCACCTTCTGCTTTACCGGGCAGTGCGTCCCCTATTAGCTAGCGAGGCCACTTTTGACCACTCAGCTCAATGGCTATTGTGTGCCATAGCCCTTACAGCACTCACACGTTCAAAACGTGATGAGCCGCTTAGCGCGATATCGGGCATGTGAACGCGCAAGTGCTGAAGGCTTTTTTTTCAAGTTTCAAGCTGTTATTGTTCTTAAGAGAGCTTTCGTATCGCGTACTGCTTACGGGCCGCAGTACGCGATACGAAAGCTATCTTAAAAATGCTGAGCTGTGGCCTCATCACGTTGAACGTGTGAGTGCTGTAGGCAGGCACAATTAGCCATTGAGCTGAGTGGTCAAAAGTGGCCTCGGTAGCGTAATAGGGAACGCTACTGCCCGGTAAGCAGAAGGTGCGGGTTCGAATCCCGTCCGTGGTCCGACTTTTGCCCACAGCTCAGCATTCTTAAAACATAGAAGTGTTTAACGGGCCCTGATTTCATTTAATAGGCCTGCCGTTGGACTCCCATTGCGGTATTAAATTTGTTTATAACCTGTACCATCGGATGCCTTTCTTTTCCAAGTCTGCTCTCACAATTGTTTTTCAAGCTTAGTCGCTTATGCGTGGTACACCTGACCATGGCATCATGCAGCAACGACAGGGTGTTACATGCGCAGCAAGATCCAGGATTTATGACATGCACTTTTGGCTTCTGAAAAACATTTCTTGAAAAAATCCAACAGTGCCAGAACACCGGTGCTTGTCCATATACTTGTGCAAATGAACTGCGATGCGAAATGTCGACAGTTCTCCTGAGACTTGAGCATCTTGGCCCTTGTAACGCGCTTCACAAACGTTTTATGCGATGCGAGTACCATATCAGTGCTAAGGGTCGAATTACCCATGTAAGCAACCTTTCAATGAGCCTCATCTTTTCAGAATTTTGGTTCTTTTAAGTTCAAGTATTGCGGTCATTTCATTCAGTCTTGCTTACTGATGCATCTATGAGTCTTTCCGGTTGTTACTATGTAATCATGAAGTCGAAAAGGGTGAGGAGTATAGGAACCACTTAAGAGAGGCGACACCATAGGCGAGTCTGCCAAGAGGCGAGGAGTGAGAATTTTCAATAAACATTACACCCATTCATCACACGACGGAGACCACCTTCCACCCGTTTACATCTAGGGTTTGTTATGCCATTTACTTATTCGTTCGAAGACAGTTCTAGCCATCAAAGGATGTACGGAATGCCTCCATGTATTGGGCATACAGGTTCACACTCGCAAAGAGTATACCGCTTTTCTCACCCGAAAAATCGAGGTAAAGCAGCCACAGACGCGTGGCTTTTGTGGGCTTCGATTTTTCAGCGTGCAACACAACTACACTCGGTGAATTTGTTCTGTTGCCTGCAGCGTCGTAGAACTATTATCACAGAAAACATTAGCTTGTCGACTTTTTTGCGAGCTCACGGGTTGATCTGCTCTCCCTGGATGCCTTCTAACAAGGGGAAAGTAGCAGCCTGGTCTGCTTCGCAAGGCATGATGCATTTAGTTGGGAGATAGCATTTAGTTCATTTGATGCGAAGAAACAATTTGTGAGCCAGGGTTTGCACAGGGGCCGCAAGATGTTGATTTGCCAGCACTTCCGGAGAACATTGAGGCTGTGTGGCTGTCAGAGAAGGTTCCTGTTTAGTGTCTTGTTTTCTGTCTCCTTCTCTACGAGGGATCCTTTATCGATCACTGGTTCATGACTAAGCAGCCACTATTAGGTCACCTCTCAACCACGTGAAGACAAACAGAGAAATGGCAGGAAATCGAGGAGGTTACGGCTTCTGTCGTTTAGTAGCTGGTACGTATATGGCTTATGTATTCGTGAAATTTGGCCATTGCATTTACAGAAGGCCTCAGTGGAATACCCAGCATTGAATTATCGAATTAGGGCCATACAAGAAGGAAGCATGCTCACATCGATTCAGAGATGGAGCAAAGCTGCGTAGAATGCTCTTTTCTCAAAACAGTGTGGAAGCTTCGGAGCAGAAGTCCAAAGAAGGAAGAACGGAAAAAAACTATGGCTGAGGAGGGCCTCATACTGGACCATTGTCGAGCTCTCTCACGAGACTGACATTTCCTCTGCAACCACTGGACGAGTTACGCTCGAAAATTCGGAATGGTCAAATTGGTGTGTGCTTGAATGCCCCATTTTCTCGCAGAAGCACGACTGCATAATGCATTCGATGCCTGCAGCGGCAGTGTTCACCACCCAAGACGTCATTCATAACTGTGGAAAACGCACCTTGCCGCAAGTTGGCATATGGGTGATTTTGTGCTCCGAACTGAGACTCTGAAGCGCTGGCTTTGAATGAATGCGGACGACTCCATTGTGGCTTGTAAGCGGCACTATCCAACATACAGAATTGTCACTATCGAAGGGTACTGTCTTGTCCTCGACAATCAAGTCGACAGGTGATTGTATCCCACCACTACAGAAAGACCGCCGTGCTCATCACAGTCAGTGGCTCCAGGTAATATTAGGTTGTACGGAAAGTTCTGCAGGTTTTGAGTGTTTAACTTTAAACGATCATAACTTTCTTAACACTCATCGGATTTGATCCAAATAAGCACCATTCGAATCAGCACACTTTTGCCAATGTGACAGCAGTCGAGAAATCCCATCAAAGAAAAAACTGGGTGGTCGAGAATCCACGAAATCTACGAAGGTCTTTTTTCGTCTGGTCCTAATTGATGAAATATTTTTCAGCAAGAAATTCCTGAAAATGTTTTGAAAAGGTGATAGTTGGTTGGTGAAAGGTCTGTAGAATATGGTGGAATAAGATGTAGACTTCAACCCCCAATTCGTTCAATTTATGGATAGTGATTTGTGACGTGTTGGCGGGCATTGTCATGCAAAAGAATCGGACCCTTTTTGTTGACAAGTGCTGGCTGCAGCTGACGCAATTTTGGGTACATTTCGTCGAATCCTTTTCAGTAGGGTTCTGCTGTGATGGTTTAGCTGGTGATAAAAAGTTATAGTGGATCACACCAGCCGATGACCACCAAGCCGTGACCAGAATCTTTTTTTCGTGAGGGTTCGGCTTTAAAAATTACCTCGGTGATTCGTCGAAATCCAACCACTTCCGGAACGTCTCCTGTTATCATACATGACCCATTTTT